CTTCCATACAAAGACACAACCACTCATGCTCTGCACTTCCATACACCACTCTCCCCTCCTCCAACCACCCCTTACCACTTCAGTACACCCCTCCCCCTTCCATATTACAGTCCTCCTGCCCCCTCTATACCACTGTATAATGTATATATATCATATATATATTGTAGAGCTAGAGCTGTATAAGACTAATGGTAACTAGAGTATAGGAATGCAGACATACTCAGTCTTCTCCAGGATTAAATATTAAGATCTTAGATTAATATTTGACTGATATATACGCATATATTTTCAATATTTGACGGATATATACGCATATGTTTACAATATTTGACGAATATGTATGCATATATTTACAATATTTGGCGGATATCTGTATAATAAAGCTAGTATATATTTAAATGGACAGAATTGGCTGAAATAACATGACATAGCCTAAATTTGTATTTGTCATGTCATCACTATGAAATCATACTAAAATACCAAGCGCGGGTAAACGGGCGGAGTAACTATGAATATGAATAATGATGTAAACCTGGCCAACGCCGGGTACTCCAGCTAGTTATTAATAATTCTAGTCATGTTTATTAATCTATATTTTGTATCTTCAACTAATGGATAATTAAATACTTAATAATTGCTGCTGCATGTTTCATAATTGTTAAAAATATTAAAACTAATGTAATGTAGGGTTCTTTAGCTTTAATAACTTTTTTACAAATCCTACAGTGGTTAGCGTTTATATCAATACAATGAAGACGACTTTTCTAATCAGGTTTTGGTTTCTAAAAAGTTTTTTTCAAGTAAACAACAAAAAATCTGTTAATAACAGCTTATTTTTGCTCCCATTTTTATGCATATCCAAGTTGTTTGAAATCCAAATTGAAATAGAACATTGTCTTCATTGTATTGATATATACGACGACGACTGTAAAAAACTACATAATTTATGCTTTTGAACTGTTTTTAATTACTTAACAGCAGCCAATCAACAACTTGGTCAAGTCATGGCAATTTTCTTGATGCAAGAATATATGACAATTACGCAACACAGTTAGAATCAGGAGAAAAGTTAAAAAGAAACCACATTAGAGCAAACTAAACCCAACAGAATTTGCAATCGATTAGGAAATTAGAATTAGAAAGAATTTTAACATCCTACCTAGGATTTCAGCTCAATGCTCTTAAAATTTTCAACTTAAGGTCTGTGCATCGTAAGATAGTTAGAACAATGGAACCAAACATTCTCAGAGTTTACGTACACCCATTTTGACTTTTTTTTGGAAAATTTAAGAAAAGCAGTGTGGGCATGAGGAAAATATTATACATTGTAGACTCGGAGAATGGGATAAGCAGCGGTCTGTTAAAGCGCAAAACCTTAGCAGACAACAATTCTGTAGACTCGGAAAGAGATTGCAACTATCATCAAACCTTTCAAAACACAAAACTAAAAAATAATCTACTAAGTTTTATTTTTAATTTCATGTCACAATCTCTTTATCAAAACGCTTTGATAGCACACTTTGTTCAAGACTTTGACGCTACTTGCCAACGTTGCGAACGTTGGGACTGTCCCAAAATAAATGATATATTGAGTGACTGTAACCAGATAATATCTAATGAAGTCTTTTAACCAATGAAGAACTAAGGAACTAAGGACTAAGGAAAGGAAGGGTAGTAACACAAAACTAAACTTTAATATAAAAACTACAAGTTTCATACTTCCAGATTATCAAGCCTCTTATTTTGCACAAATAAAGATTGAGAATATCTACCGGAGATTGAAGTACAGCCTAATGCTATGGCCAGCAGTAAACACTGGGTTTTGGTCATCGGGGACAGTAATCTTGGTATCATTTGTGAAAAGTTAAAAAGACCGTTGAAGACACTTTTGAATCTAAAATATCCGTTCAATTTCGTAACTGATACTTCTGAAATTAATGCGTTGGTTGTCAACCGTTCGAGTTGACAAAAACCAATATTATAGTACTCGGAGGTCAGGGAAATTCCCTTCTTCAGGGAATGTCAACCCTTAAATTCAAGAAACACAAGTTGTCTGGTAAGCCAGCTGGTTTCACAACATTTGGAGCTAGAAAAAGGAAAGTTTTTCACACTCAGATTGTTGCCTCGATCATATCATCCAGAGTACCTTGACTCCTTCAGGGTTTGTATTGACAACATCATGCAGCTCATTAGCCAGACCTTTCCAAGCTACCCCGCAGCCTGCTGTACACAGCTGGGGCATTTTTGTGACGGATTTGATGGGAACCTCTTTAACGTGGAGGTAGTAAGGTTAGGAACGTACATCTTATGTCTCCAATTCCGGAAGGATGCTTTCATTTTGACCCCTCGCGTGAGAGTGAACAGTTTTGTATTAGTATATGTTTATTTGTCTTTACAAGTGTAACCGTGCTTATATTCTAGGATCACTGCAGTAATAATTTTTTATATATATATGTATGCTATCGTTTGATTATATTATGATTGATATTTTTAAATATGTTTGTTGGTTCCTTGCCACAGTTTTTTAATGCCTGAGTGGATTATTTTTGTATTCGTATGATTTATCACTCAAAGCTTTTTCTGTGGGCTTACTAAACTTATTTAGATTGAAGCATTCGAGAAATATACGTTCGGAACCATATTATTATCCTTTGTTATGGAGAGCGTTGAGAGGAGGAAGGCTTACAATCCAATCTCGAGAAATACCGCACGGTATATACATTAGGTCTTTAGGGAAATCGCTATGTAGCGAAACATTCAATCGCAACCTTGTAGGGTACGGGTTAACTAATTGAGATTTAGCAAATTTTCTCGTCGCCGCTATATTGCCTGAATTGGAAAATATACGGACTGATGTAGGAATAAGCTTAAAAGGAAGCTTTATTAAATTGAGATTCTTTATATAATCCTAACTCTTATCATTATTAGATCTATATCTAGTAAGTTGAGGCGGGATATTTTAATTCAATTCTAAACTGAATTTGTTTCTTGTTGTCAGTATATTGGCCAAATCGGAAAAGTATGGTGACGAATCGAGTGAACAAGTTCTAAGTATGAAACTGAATGTTAATGGAATGTTCATGATTGGATGATTGGATGAAGTTACCTGAGATTTATGTTCCACCGTCAGTACCTTCTTGGTCTATATCTTGAAGGGACGAGCACTGGACTATACCAA